CTTAAGACAAAAAACGTGTGATTTCATTCACATGAAATATCTAGAACAGGCAAATTCACAGAGACAGGAAACAGAATAAAGGTTCTCAGGGGCTAGGGGATGGGGAATGGAGTTACCGCATGGTGGTTACAGAGTTTCTGTTCGGGGGGAAGAAAATACTTTGGAAGTAGATAATGGTGAAGATTGCACAATGTTGGGAATGTACTTAACGGCATTGAATTATACACTTAAAATGGTTAAAATGGCAAATGTCATGTGATATATATTTTACCAAGTAAAATTTGTTTAAAAAAAAATGAGTAGGAACAAAAAAGCAGTCTGATTAAAAGATGCCTCCCTGGGTGGCTCAGTTATTTGGGTGACCGACTCTTGATCTCAGCTTGAGTCTTGATGTCTGGGTTATAGATTTGGGCCCTGTGCTGGGCTTTGTTCAGGGCATGGAGCCACTTTAAAAAAAGGCGGGGGGGCAGAGGAACTGAATAGACACTTTTCCAAAGAAGACATACAAATGGCCAATGGATAGATGAAAAGGTGCTAACGTCACTAATTATCAAAGAAACACAAATCAAAACCACAAGATTTCACCTTACACTTGTTAGAATGGCTAGTATCAAAAAGACAAGAGATGACAAATGCTGGTGGGTATGTGGGGAAACGGAATGCTGTGCACTGTTGGTGGGAATGCAAACCGGTGCAGCCACTGTGGGAAACAGTATGGAGGTTCCTCAAAAAGTTAACAGTAGAACTACCCTATGATCCAGCAATCCCACTTCTGAGTATTTACCCAAAGGACATGAAAACACTATGATGAAGGGATATCTTCACCCCATGTTCATTATAATTATACCTAACTGTCCATCAACAGAGGAATGGATGGAGAAGATGTCACACACACACACACACACACACACACACACACACACACACACACACAATGGAATATCATTTAGTCGTGAGAAAGAAGGAAATCCTGCCATTTGCAACAGCATGGATGGATCTTGAGGGCGTTACGCTAAGTGAAATAAGACAGACAGACAAAGACAAATACTGCATGCTATCACCTATATGTAGAATCTTTAAAAAAAAAAATTGAAACCTAGAAACAGAGAGTAGAAAAGTGGTTGCCAGGGACTGGCGGGGGTGGGGGGAGGGTGGGAAATAGAAAGAGGATGGTAAAAGTGTACAAACTTTCAGCTATGAGATGAATAAGGTCTGAGGATAAAACATGATGGCCATAGCTGATAAGACAGTATTGTATAATTGAACTTTGCTTAAAAGAGTAGAACTTAAATGTCTCAGCAAAAAGAAAATAATATGTGAGGTGATGGATGTATTAATTAACCAAATGATGGGAATCCTTCCACGGTGTATTGAGTAAAGTATATTACCCTCTCTCTATGACATGGGTGGTGTGTACCCAATCAGTTGAAGGCCTTAATAGAACAAAGTCTGACATCCCTGAGAAAGAAGGAATTCTGACAGCAGATGGCTTTTTAAATTCAGACTGCAACTCTTCCCTGGTCCCAACCTATCAGTTCACCCTGCAGATTTTGGACTTGCCAAAATCATGTGAGCCAATTTTTAAAAAATAAGTTTGTTCGGGACACCTGGGTGGCTCAGGCAGTTAAGCATCCAAGTCTTGACTTTGGCTCAAGTCATGATCTCAGGGTTGTGAGATCGAGCCCTGGGTCGGGCTCCATGCTCAACGAGGAGTCTGCTTGAGATTCTCTCTCTCCCTCTGCCCCTTCCCCTGCTCGTGCTCTCTCTCCTTCTCTCTCTCTCTCTGTCTCTCAAATAAATAAATAAATCTTTAAAAATAAAAAATAAATAAATAAAAATAAATTTGTGTGTCTGCATGTATGTTAGTGTGTGGGCATATATATCCTGTTGGTTCTATTTCTACTCTAATGCCCCAAAATGTACAGAAATGTGACACAGTAGACTTGGGCTGGAAAGATACGGCAGTCTTAAGGTGAGTCCATTACAATGAAAATATCTCATAAAAGATGTGCAAAACCATGGGACCATAGGAATATGTTACTGCAGTCCCTCCCAGACCCTGGGTTTTCCTGGGCCACTGGTTAGGGTTGCCATAACAAAGTTCTTCTGGTTGGGTGGCTTAAACAATGGAAACTTATTTTCTCATAATTCTGGAGGCTCAAAGTCCAAGATCAAGGTATTGGAAAGGTTGGTTTCTCCTCAGGTCTCTCTCTTTGCCTTGCAGATGGCTGCCTTCTGGCTGTGTCCTCATGTGATGTTCTGTCTGAGTGCACGCTCGTTCCTGGTGTCTCTTTGTATGTCCAAATTTCTTCTTAATAGGACACCCATCACATTGAATTAGGGCCCACGCTAATGGCTTCATTTTAACCTAAAAACCCCTTTAAAGCCTTACCTCCAGGTATGGTCACATTCCAAGGTACTGGAGGTTAGGATTTCAACATAGGATTTTCAGGGCTCACAAATCTACCCACAACAGGTAGTACAAATTGAAAGTCTAACCCAGAATAAGAGTTGCTTGTGTTTATGAGTTCTTAGGAGAGTTTCTATTTCTTGCCCCACATCAAGGGCTAAATGGACACATTTTCTTGTCAGCATCTTTGGCAAAGGTTGGGAATTCTCAGTACTGTGTGTGCCTGAGGGTGTCGCCCTTTGAGGATCCCTGCTTTTTGCAAGAGCCTCTGCTGTGACTCATGGAAGTTTTGTCCTGCATTCCTCTTTGGCATGGGGAATCACTTGCCTTTGCGGTTTTGCCTTGTCTTCCTCTGGGCCTTTGTGGATTCCCTTACTTTCTTGTGGGCACACTTATGGATTTTTAAGAAAATACACTTTTGGGGGGAATAATTTTAGGTTTATAGAAAGTTGCAAAGGTAGTACGGAGAATCCCTTTCATTTTGTTGACATCTTAACCCTGGTACATTTGTCAAAATGAAGAAACCAACGTTGGTCCTTTCCTATTCACTACACTTCAGACTTTATGCGGATTTCACTAGCTTTTCCACAAATGTCCCTTTCCTGTTCCAGGATCCCACAGTACACGTAAGTCATCGTGTCTCCTTTGCCTCCTTGGTTTGTTATACTTTCTATACTATCTTTCCTTGTTTTTGATGACTTTGACAGTTGGAGGAGTACCAGTCAAGCGCTTTTGTAGAATGTCCCTCAATTTGAATAGACATGACTTTTAAAGGATGCCTATTATATCACACCCAGTGTGATCAAAGTGTTTGCAGTGATACATGCTACTATTTTTTTTTTAAGATTTCATTTATTTATTTGAGAGAGAGAGAGAGAGAGAGAAAGCACAAGCGGGGTGGGAAGGGCAGAGGGAGAGGGAGAGGGAGAAGCTGAGCAGGGAGCCCGATATGGGGCTTGATCCCAGGACCCTGGGATCATGACCTGAGCCGAAGGCAGATGCTTAACTGACTGAGCCACCCAGGCGCCCCGAAACCTGCTACTATTCAACATGGTGCTGGAAGAGGAAGTCTCTACCCTCTGATTCTATAATCTAGCTGCCCAATCTACTGCACATAATTTTTTTTTCCTCCTAACATTTGCCAGGATTGGTTTTTCTTGCTTAATTCGGAGAGTCCCATGACTAATTCACAAACCATTTTATATTTTCCTGCCACTTTTCCCACCACCCCCCAAAATGCTCTCTTCTGGCAATACTAAATTTATTATAGTCTTCATATATTGATGTTTCTACAAAACTCTTCATGACATTCCCTGTTTGCACTGTTCCCTGCATCCACTCAGACAACAGTGCTGCAACCGCAGATAATTTTGTTTCTTGCTGGGTGTTGTTTTCTGTCTCCATTTCTCTTTGTTTTGGGCAGGGATCAGGACAGGGGGCTGGATATGAGAAGGCAGAGGCAGGAGTCGAAACAGAACTCTGCGTCCCAAAGGGAAAGCGGCAGAAGAGGTGGGATTGTTTCCAATCAAAGGGAGTGGCCAGGCTCACATAGGAGAAAACTGTGGCCAGTGTCCCACCCCAGGTGCGTGCTGTCCCTACTGAGAAAACGCAGACACAAATGCCTACCCAAGCAGGAGAGCTGGCCCTCCACCATCTGCGCACTCACTGCCAGGGGTAAGGGAAACTACAGACCGAAGGAAATTTGTCCTATCCGTCGTCTAAAGAAACAGAAGGAAGCGAACAGTTTTGAGTACTCCCTATGTATCAGGTGCTACGTTACGTGTTTCGTATCTTATTCAATCTTTAACATTCCTGATAAATAGGTGGCAATTTTGAGGCCAGCCTCACAATCACCAGATTGCCAAGGACGAAGTTGTAAAGCTTGTAAAGTCCAGTGGTGAACCCAGTTCTTTCTCTGAAGTTCACGGTCTTTCTAGGGCAAGACAGAAGAAGAAGCGTAAGTTTGAGAGATCTCATGTTACTGTGTGTCTCCGCTCAACACTGAGAAGATGAGCAACTGCTTGCATTCTGAGCCTCGGTTTCCTTCCGTATAAAACAGGTAGAACGAAACCTCCCTTGCTGAGTTGATGTAAGCATTAGACAAAATGCAAGCAACGCATTGCATTGAGCAGCGCCCAGCACAGTAGCTCTTGTTAATATGCCTTAGCCCTTATTCTTTGTAGTGCTAGTGGTGCTGTAATTATTATCAGGCTTAGCCCGTTGACATGCAAGTGTTTTCCCTAACAATACTATCACTCCTTCATTATCACCCCTTCATTTACGCAACAGTGACAGACAAGCTTCTGAATGTTTGAGATACAGTGGGAAATAGACAAATCCCCTGCTGTCAGGGACCTGGATTCCAGACAGTAAACAAGTCAACCAGGGATCAGCAAATCTTTTCTGAAAGGAACAGAGAGTAAATATTTTAGGCTCTGTGGGCCCTAAGGTCTCTGTTGCAACTACTCAGCTCCATAGTCCAAAAGCATCCGTGGACCACTCGAATGAATGGGGGTGGCTCTTCTGATAAAGCTGCATTTCAAAAACGGGCTACGTGTCAGACCTGGCCCGTGGGCTGCAGTTTGCATACCGAGTATGTCAGATCATTTCCAAGAGTGATGGATGCTCTGAAGAAACTAGGTCCAGCAACGTCATACGGTATGACAGGTGTGTTGGTGCAGAATCCAATGGGCAGATCCGATGCCACCTCGAGCTGAACCCTAAGTGAGGGGGGGGGGCAGCCTGGCAAAGAGAATAGGCAGAGTGGAGGGTGAGGAGACATGGCAGGTAAAGGAAACAGGCCTGGGGCAGGATCAAGCTCTGTGGTCGGTGGGCTCCCGGTGGCTGGCCTGGTGGCTAGGTAGGGTGGAGAGGCGGGAAGGCAGGACCTTGCAAGGCTTTGTCAGTCATTTGAGGATAAACTAAAGAGGTGAAGGGGATTAAGAGTACACTTACTTTGATGAGCACTGAGTAATATAGGGAAGTGTTGAATCACTATTTTGTACACCTGAAACTAATATAACACTGTATGTTAACTACACTGGATTTTAAAAATAAAATTTAAAAATAAATAGATAAGTAAGTAAAATAAAAAGAGAGAAGTCCCTTGCAGGGTTTAAGTGCCACAGTAAAGTGTTGATTTACACTTTAAGGTATCACTGCTTCTGCTGTGCAGCCGGGCAATGATCGTGACACTGACAGTGGGGGGCAGGGGGCGGCTTTGAGGAGGAAGCGTCACGAAGGCAGAGGAGACCCCGGGAGACAGAAGGCCTTGGGTATGCTTTGCTGTGAAGACCACGGGCGAGTGACTGGAGGATGGATGTTGTGTCTTACTTGAGCGATTTAAAGGTGGGGCTCCTAGAGTAGGTTGTCCCCTGGGCAGAAAGGTCTGCTAGGGAAGAAGAGAGTGCTGGCGGGGCAGCACAGTGAGGGCAAGGAGCTAGAGACAACAAGGAGGTGCTATAGGTCTGGCGGGAGCAGACCGTAAAGCTGCCGGTAAGATGGTGGCTTTGAGAGGGAAGATGGGGAGTCCCCATCTGGTTGTGTCTGTGATCTCAGTGAGTGTAGGTCCCCCCAGTCTGGTTTTCCTGCATCCTCTTCTCTTGATGCCTTCCCTCTGGTACCCAACCTAGCCCTGACCCTGCATGACCATGGATACACTGCCTTTCTTCACCCTGGTGGTTGGTAGTCGCCAGAATCCCTTCGTCTCTTAAAGCTGCAGTACTCTGGCTTTCAGATAACCACGAGTTACCCCGGTACAGTTATCCAAGCAAGCGTGCATATCGCCTCATCTCCTGGTTACTGAGGAGCTCAGCCTGCAGAGGACATTGAATTTGAAAACGCCCTCATCCACCCACCTCTTCAGCTCACGATCTCCTCTCTCCCTGACATCTTCCTTTATCTTCCTCCTGGATTCCAAAAATGACCTTACCGCTCTTCTTGAGGGCTTCAGTTAATCTCACCTCTAGTGTGATGGTTTAACTACCAGTAGAGCCCTGGAGATTCTTCCTCCTGTTTCCCACAATCCTCTACTTTCTCAGCACATTCCCTCATGTTCATCAGCTCAGCCAGACGACAAAAGTTACAATGTATCACTTACTGAGTCCTGACGCCCCCATGGGCAAGTGCAATAATTTATGAAATAGTAGATGTAAACGGGGGTGTGCTCACACTTGCTCATGACAACAGATGGCTGTATTGTCAAGAATTTTCTGGGCTGGTTGTTAAACATGGCCATTATTCAAAATTAAGTTACATAAACTTGCAACTGAATTATATGAAAGCAATGAATTTAAATAAAATTTAAAAAAATAAATTATATGAAAGCCAAAAATAGTAAATACTCAATACTCATTGTTTCTAAATTATTCTAGTACATTTTCACTATTCTGTATGCACTTGAGGTAGTTCTATTGTTTTTGTTTTTTGTTTTTTGTTTGTTTGTTTTTTATCTGTATGGTGGAAATACTAACTAATAACGTGTCTCTTCTCAGCTCCACGTTCAGCGAATAGAGGTGAGAGCTTGAAATCAGCCATGATGAGAGCATTCACACCACAGAATAGTTTCTAGCAAATGCTGTGGTGTGATTCAGGGCTGTCTGCACCCCCCCTCCCCCATCAGTTGTCAAACATTCACTAGCATATCACTGATTGTAAACTCACTTAACAGAAAGTTACAGTAAACTCTCCGGGTCTGTCTCCTAAAACCACATGCACGCACACACTCTCTGCCCTAACCATTAGCGGCTCCCTTCGCTGAAAATGCTTTTCATACCTCTGGCTCCTTCCATGTGCCCTTTGCCTGGGATGTGCTCTCTTCTCTTCTCTGCATGGTAGACTCCTACTCATCCACTGAGCCCTGGGTCAAGTACAGCTCCCTGGGAATTTCTTCCTGATTCCCTGTATTAGTTGGCTAACACTGACGTAACAAAATACCAAAGACTGGATGCCTTAAACAACGGAAATTGCTTTTCTCACAATTCTAGAGGCTGGAAGTTCAAGATCAAGGTGTTGGCAGGTTTGGTGTCTCCTGAGGCCTCTGTCCTTGGCTTGCTGTGTCCTCTGCTGGTCTTCCTCTGTGAATGAATGCATCCCTTTTGTCTCCTTGTGCGTCCACATTTCTTCTTCTTGTAAGGACACCAGTCCTATTGGATTAGGGCTCACCTTAAGGACCTCATTTTAACTTAATCACATTTTGAAAGGCCTTATCTCCCAATACAGTCACACCGTAGGGTACTAGGAGCTTGGACTGCGACATAGGAATTTTGGGGACACAAGTGAGCCTGTAACACTGCCCAGGCCTTACTTTTAATCTTTTTTTTATTTTAATGTTTCCTTTAAAATTTTGCGTAGGCTTCTCACTACAGAAATTTCCATAGTCATTTCAAAATTATCTTTTGGTGCCTCGCTGCAACTGGTCTGTTGATCTCTTCAGAGATCCTGTCTTCCTCATCTTTATATCTTGATATCTCCTAACACCCAACATCACAGATACACAGTAAACATTTTTTTGAATAATCAAAGATAAAGAAGAGTAAATGAAGTTCTGCTCCTACAGAGGAAATGTGCATTTTATTTTTGAAAATAAGAATAACTTTATGATCCCACAGGTATCATCAAAAAGTCAGAAAATAAAGAATAGGGTCAAGAGTAATTTTTTAATGGTCTGCGGCCTTGGTATCTAGGGATAACATTTGTGAAGCGTATTTGTTTTTTCTTGCAAAGCTCTTTTCACAATTAATTTTATCAGATGAGAAGAGCCAGGTAGCTGTTCCTCAGTACCTGGTCTTTCCTTCTTCCAAGGCAGAGTTTTTAGCCGGGTAAATAAAAACCCAGAATAAATATTATATTTCTCAGTATTCCTGGCAGCTGACGACTAAGTTCTGGTCAACAGAGTACACATAGGTGCACTGTGCAACCATCCCGGGGAACCTGCCCTAAGGAAGAGCGGCTCTGTGTCCCCTGTGCCAGTCACTGTCCCTCTCTGCTTCCTGCTGTCTGGAAAGCTGACTCTCTCTCCCCACAGGCCTGAGAGCCCACAGTGGACACTGCAGAGCGAGCTGGAAGGAGTCAGTGTCCCTGAAGACTTTACAGAAACAAAGCCCTCACGCTTTGCTTATAAGAGAAAAGTAAACTTGTCTGCCTTAAACCACGGTCTGTTTTAAACTGTTGTACCATGCAGATGAAACATGTCATTTTGTTACTTATTCATATTTCCACAGCAATAAATATGGAATGGTATGGCGGATTAAAAATGGCCACAGAGGAGGACAGTGGGGCAGTCCCTCAAGAAAGTTAAACACAGGGGACGCCTGGGTGGCTGCTGAGTCGTTAAGCGTCTGCCTTCGGCTCAGGCCATGATCCCAGGGTCCTGGGATCGAGCTCCGCATCGGGCTCCCTGCTCGGCGGGAAGCCTGCTTCTCCCTCTGCCACGCCCCCTGCTTGTGTGCCCTCTCTCTCTCTTTCTCTCTCTGACAAATAAATAAATTAAAACAAAAATTTATTTAAAAAAAAAGTTAAACACAGGGTTACCATATGGCCCAGCAATTCCACTCCTAGATGAGTTCTCCCAAAGAACTGAAAACAGGTACGTGAGTATTCACAGCAGCACTATGCACCTTAGTGAGAAGGTAGAAACGACAAAGAAATCCATCCACCGACAAATGGATCAGTAAGGGGTGGTCTATCGGTGCAATGGAATATTATTCGGTCAGAAAAAGGAATGCAGTCCCGATACTCGCGTTACCGTGGACCATGGTTGAAAACATGCTGATGAAAGAAGCCAGTCACAGAAGCTATGTATGATTCCATTTATAGGAAATATCCAAGATAGGCACACCGACAGAGACAGAAAGCAAATTAGTGGTTGCCGGAGGCTGGGGGCAGACAGGAATCTGAGCAACTGGTAAAGGGATGTCAAGTTTCCTTTGGGGGTGATGAAAATATTCTGAACTAGGGAGATTGATGCACAACATTGTGACTATGTTAAATGCCACTAAGTGCACTGTGAATGTATTAAATGCTATTGTGCACTTTATTTTTTTTTTAAGATTTTTATTTATTTGAGAGAGGCAGAGATTTGAGAGAGAGCACGAGCAGGGAGGAGAGGAAGAAGCAGGCCCCCCACTAAGAAGGGAGCTCGGTGCGGAGCTCAGTCCCAGGACCCTGGGATCATGACCTGAGCTGAAGGCAGACGCCTAACCAACTGAGCCACCTAGGTGTCCCACTATTGTGCACTTTAAAATGGCCAATTTAGTGTTATATAACTTTAACATATGTATACACACACACACTCCTTTCCAAAAAAAAGGTCACAAATTCTTTGTTGCTTCTTCCATCTGGACTGGCCTTCTGTCAGGCTTTGACCAATAAAATGTGGCTAAAGCAACATCTGTAACTTTTGTGCAATTTCTCAAAAGGTCTTGCAAATTCCGCCCTCTCCCTAATGGAATGCGGGGACTGCCATGGTGTGAAGAAAGACCATGTGGAGAGAGCTGCTCAGCTGTCCGGGCTGGGCCCCTCCCGCCCCCCAAACCAGGTTCCTGCCATATGAGGAAGGCGTGTTCGACCACCAGTCACAGCGGAGCAACGCAGTTGCCAGAGAGAGCCCGGTTGACTACACTGGAAAGCAAGCCCGGTCGAGCCAAGTCAAGCCTCGGCATTGTAAGAAAGAACGTCATTGTTGTCTGAAGCCACTTGGGTCTAGGTAGCTTGTGACACAGAAGCAGACGGCTAACCCAGAGTACGCTGCTCTGTGCATTTGCCAGTCTCCTGCGGAGAGGCACGATGTGCCGTCCCGGTCTCTCACTATCGTAAACAACTCTGTCTTGGACATTCTCATACAAACAACGCTCTACACTTATCTGATATTTTTTTTTCTAATACTCTCAGCAGCCCTTGCCTTTACTGGAAACCTGAGGGGAAAAAAACATTCCAAACATATTCTTCACTCATTTAAGAAGCACAAGCAATAGTGGCCATTTCAGGCCGTTTCAGGTGGGAAAAACAAAGCGTTGCCATGTTGCCCAAAAGAATGTGCATCGGGGGGCGCCGATGGCTCAGATGGTTAGGCGTCTGCCTTCGGCTCAGGTCATGATCCCGGGGTCCTGGGATCGAGTCCCGCATCGGGATCCCAGCTCCTTGGGAGCCTGCTTCTCCCTCTGCTTCTCTCTCTCTCTCTCTCTCCCCCACTGTCTCTCATGAATAAATAAATAAAATCTTAAAAAAAAAAAGAATGGGTGCTGGCAAAATTAAAAAAAAAAAAAGAATGTGCATTGGATTGGCCCCGTGATGTAGCTCATGAATCGCCCCCCCCCCCAAGTTTCTCACCGGAACCCCAGCCTTAGGCTGGTTTTTTGTGCTGTTCTTCAGGACTGGCCTTAAGGTATAGGAAACCCCTGTGTATATGTAAATAATCTGATTAAAATATATATTACAAAATTCATGAGCCCATGTGAGGTATAGTAATTCCTCCACGAAGATTTAGAATAATGAGCCCTTCAGTATTTGTTGTTATGAATGTACACAGAGTCTTCTTAGGGTCCACACACCAGCTCTCCTGTTAGTGGCCAGGAGTGTGGCCGTCCTCCTGCGTCCGAGGTGAGTGAAAGTCACTCAAGAATAGCTCATCAGCCTCATTCAGGAGGCCAGTCCCTCACAGTCCTGTGAAAAACACATCGCCTTGGCCAGCAGGAGAATCCAGGTGGCCATCCTCCCTGGGCCTGAGGTCCAGCCGTGGGCCCTGGAGGGACTCCCATAAATGCCTGGATGTCTGGATGACACCACGTGCATGGTAGAGGGTCAGAGGGTGCCCCGAAGAGGAGAAACAAAGACCAAGCCCACATGGGACTGATCCGAGGCCACAGGGGCTTCTCTGGATGGCACAGCTGGCCCCAGACAGTGGCAGGCCCCAAAGGAGCACCCCCAACACAGGGCCCCGCTTTCCTGGGTCTAAACATGGCAC